AATATCTAGATGCATCATCAATAAAAGTAACAGCATGCGTTTTGTTTCCATTGGAAGGTGTTGCATGGAAATCACATAAATCACTATGTATAAGTTCCAACACCTTTCTTTCCCTAACATCTTTGAAAGGTTATCTTTTGATTTTATTTAACATGCATGTTTTACATTTTTCATTATTTATATCAAAATCAGGAATTAAACTCATTTTCAACATGTCTTTTAATCTCTTGTAATGAATGTGTCCTAGTCTAGCATGCCATAAATTAGATTTATCAAAAATATTTCTAGAACTAGAAGAAGCCATGTAAACAAAATTATCATAACTATGATAATTAATATTAAGCCTAATCATTCCATTACATACATATTCGAAACCCATAAAAGAACCATGTCTTAACAAGATATACTTTTCACTTTCTAAAACTTGTTTGTTACCACAATTATTCAAGACAATTTCAGACACGAGATTCTTTCGAATCCACGGCACATATAAAACATTGTTCAGATATAAACACTTTCTAGAAGTAAAGTAAAGTAAAACTTACCCTAAACCCTTCATTGGTTCGGTAGCAACATTTCCCATTTTCACCACATATCCATCTTCTATTGGTTAACATTCCTTAAACCACCAAAGATATTTACAAATATGGATTGTTGCTCCCGAATCAACCCACCATGCAACATCATCATCCTGCACAGAAAATGCTTTAGAAATCACAAAAGTATATAATTTTTTACACAATTAAACTTATGCATAAAATCATAATTCTGACCTTGTTGCTTTTCTGGATCCTTGAATCCACTCGGTCCAGCACCATGCTTATTCACTTAAGAAGACGAAAATCTTCATTGAAGTGACCCGGTTTGTTACAATTCCAACAAACCATTTTTACCTTCTTGTTGGAAGACTTGTCATCCTTTACTTTAAACTTCCTTTTTCCACTAGACTTCTTGGGATTCTTTGAACTTTCTCCTTCAACCATGTTCATAGAATAGGAACCAATTTGATTCTTTCATTTAGGATTGTTATCAAGTTCTTGAGCCGTTAATGACTCTTCAATCCGTAAATGGCTTCTTGTTTGAGTCAAAGTTAATTCCTCTTTGTTATGTTTCATATTGTGTTTAAAATCATTCCAGGAAAGGGGCAACTTTTTCAATGATGACAGCCACATAAATGACTTTTGTAACATCCCAAAAATAGAGGTAAAATTTTTCAATTTAAAAAATCATCAATCTATACAATTGGTGCCACAAAATCAATCACAAAATAGTCTATCACAATCATCAGAGTAAAATGGGAATCAATGTGGAAGCATAGGGGGGATGTTGTGGGATCACGTCAGACCCTTCCCTTTCATACCAAAAGTACCTGAAACCATAAACATAAAACTGTAAGCATAAAGCATAGTGAGTTCCCCAGAAACTACATACCATACATATAGTTGGGCCTAGCCTTGAGGTATATTCCAACCCAACATACATTAATGGGCCCAACCCTAAGGTATGTGTCAACCCGTACATGCAATAATGGGCCCAACTCTGGAGTTTATTTCAACCCAAACATACAATCATGGGCCCAACCCTGGGGTATATTTCACCTAATCATACATGTACGAGTCACAAAAATAGCTAGCGTCCTACATAACACAATCCAGTAGGCCAACATTGGTTCCTTCGACCCATAAGTACAACGAAAAGACTCACATCGCTAATGCGGTCAAAAGTCAACGACTCGCAAAATAGGAAATAGGTTCCATGCGCAACCTATATCGCCACACAAGATAAATACTTAGGCCAACTTTCTAAAATTAGAAATTTGACTAAAAACCAACAAGTCAAAATTTAACCCAGAAAAGATAATAGTCAAAATTACCAACAACAGTCCTCCATGCCGTGGCCTTCCTTGGCCACGTCATGGGCACAAAGTAACAATACAGTCGATGACTCCCCAATCGACATGCCGTAGCAGCCTAAGGCCATGTCGTGGGGGCTGGTCTGAACATCTCAAACGAGCTTAAATCATTTTTATCCAATTTCAAGAGCTCCAAAGCTCATATATGATAATTTCCAAGGATTTAATGGATAAAGTTTCCAACTTTACCTTAATACATTCCTTTAAGTCTAGATCTAAATTCTAAAGTCCAAAAATGTAACTTAACGCATGAGACTAGACCAATAAGCACTTAATCCATGAAATCTTCAAACCAAAACTTCCAGAAACACTTAAAGGGTTCTTTTGAACCCTAAAAATGTAAAGTCTATGGATATGCCTACCCCATGTATATCCATCCCATATTTAGGTTAAAGATGAAATAAAAACCTAACTTTAAGCAAAGACTCCATATTACTACCATTTTCTCGATCTACGAGATATAATGCTCCTGGGACATAGAGAAACCATAAAGTTGCTAGCTTTATCTCTTCAGTCCACTCAAACCACCTCAAAGGGACAATAATATGCCATAAAACCTAGATCTATGAAGAAATACAAGAAAATGTAGAAACTTTAGGAAATACAAACGGTCCATAAGATGCACACAAGAGAAGGGGAGGTTTACTTGTTGAATTAACGCACTAACTCTTCTTCTTCTTCCTTCAAAGCCACTAAGAACTTGCAAAAGTGAGCACAAAAGCTTCCAAGAGGATTAGGGTTTGCAATGGAGTCGTTTGAGAGTGATAGAGGTTGACGGCGGAGGAAACCCTAGCCTTAACTTCCTTTAAATAGGGCGTAAAGTCTGTAGATAAGGGTTTGGCCCAAAATGGTCGCCACGATGTGGCCACTTAGTGTCAAAGCGTGGCACCCAATTAAAACACGCGATCATTAATCCAATGTCCATGTCGTGGTGATGCCATCACAACGTCGTGGCAACCCAGATTTCTCTCTCTCTTTCTCTCTTTCTCTCTCTGTATATATATATATATATATATATATATATATATATATATATATATATATAATTCATACCTTGGGATCCAGATGTTACAACTTCATCCACTTTCATATTGTGTTGAGCAAACTATCCCAAGATCCTCAATATTTCATGGAATTGTTCCATAACAGGCCTGAAGTCAGACATCTTGTAACCTATAAAGTTATTGACAAGAAACTTCGTGCTTGAAGCATCGCCAATCATGTATTTGGATTCAAGAGAATCCCACGGTTCTTTTGCAGTTTCAACATTTTGATACATATCAAACAGAGAGTCAGACATACCATTGATAATATTACCATGATAGATGTAGTCATCATTGTCCCACTTTGATCTTCTTCTTGTTGTTTCTAAAATTTAATCTTCAGTGAATTCTGGCATGTGTACTTAGAACATACACCACTTTCGGAGTAGTAAGAAGAAAGTGTATCTTCTTCTGCCATCTATGAAAATCTTGCCCTTCAAACTTGTTCAATTTGTCAAACTTGCTTGTCATGATTACAAAATACTTTGATTTTTGTTAGATGTTTGGAGTTAAAAGCACTTGGAAATTTTGAGAATTGTGTTAAACACTTTCAAATCAAAGTATTTGGGTGGTACTCCCAAATCCTCAATTAGATAATACTTAGAAGTTTGAGAGCAAGAAAAGAGAATGAGAAGTATGTTAACGTCTGTACCCTTATTTTGGACCAAAACATGCGTAAATATGTCTCATGTCTAAAACTGTCACAAGACAATTGTAACGTTCATAACTGACATAAAAAATCAGACATTTAACCACTAGATAAAAGCATAACTGACGGGTGTCCCAAAATGTCACCAAAAGTCAAACCTGACACAAAAAAATGGTCGTTTTAATCACCGGATAAAACACCGAACTGATGGGTCAAACACCGAACTGCACACGTTCCGACATAGTCTTGTTCCTACACGTTTCGATTGTCATAACTCATTGGAAATGAACAGTGTCGTTTCGATGTGTTTCGATTTATCGGAAGTGAACCGTACCGTTCCAACTAGTCCCGATTCATCGGAAGAGAACATTACCATTCCAATGAGCTCCGATTCATCGGAGCTATTTCCATTCCAAAAAAAATCAATTCGGAAATCGTTTCAGCTTTGATATCATTTCCAGTTCCGAAATCATTTATCATTTACTTTGAATCTTATATAAACTTAAACAAGTGTGTACTCCACACCTTCCTTGGTTCATTAAGATTGATTTTGGTTAACAAGTCAATCCATTACATTTAAATACAATTAGTGAAACAATTCACCAACATTATAATCTATTGGTCAACTGAAAACTTTTAGACCTCAGTTTAAATAGATGTTTATCCAGATTTGCAAATCAATACTAGTGTGTTCTCTTCTAATAATAGCAATAAAATTATTGTTGATTATTGAATAATAAAATCATTGCACATTCCTTTGTACTTCAAGAGACTCAAATTCATACTTAATAGGATCTAAACTCTATTTCATATGATTAGGCGAAAACACCTTCATAAATAATATTAATAACTAACAATATTGATTTCAAATAGTTTTTTATACTTAATGAGCTTAATACGTTTAGTATTTGATCCATACAACTTTTTTACTTGATCCGGACATAATGACTTAATGAGTTAAGTAAAAAAAAACTTAATATATTAAGACACTAACCCTTTGCTCAATTTCTCTACCCTTACAACTCAATTCACATTGAAATTGATGAATATTGTGACAACAAAGTTGGAAGGGAACGGAAAATGATCATTTAAACAATTTACTCGATGTAGATAAAGAAAGAGTCTTTATGCATAAAATATTTGATCCAAAACGTTATTACCTGGTCAATCATACCAATATCGAACTTAATGTACTTAGAAAAAAAGCCACCTAAGTCTTGTTTAGTATTTGAATATCCTCCAGAGAAGGGCTGAAGGATGATACATCACTTTCGTCACTTCACATCTCTTGATTGCCAAAAAGGTTTCCCTTGCCGTATGACATAAGTTGAAACAAATAGGCCCAACAAATAGACGTTATTTCCCTTGCATAATGCATAACACCAGTAATTTTTTTTTTTTTTTTTTACATAGAAAAGACTAAATTAAATTCTCATTTCTTTTCTTTAAAACAAGAAATGACCCAAACTTATACTTAACAACTATGTATTTGTCATCAAGACCATGTAAATGATACAAAATTTGCAACTTTCGTCCATAAAAAAAATAAAACAGCACGGGACAAAAAAAAAAAACCATTATTGATCTCTTGTCTGTGCAAAAAAAACGTAAATATCCTCATCATACGACCATTATATCTAAAAATATAGAAGCAAACATAACTATACCAACCCGATTCCGTCTTTTTTAAGGCAAAAGTTTAGAATTATCGTCAAGTTGGTGCTAATCAACGGTCATTAACATTTTTTTTTGCTATTAAGACAAAACAAGTTGTTTTGCATTTATCAGTGTATGTCAATGTCAGTATGTCAGGGCCACCCCAACCTAACCTGATGTCAATGAGACAAAACTTGCACTTATTTGTCCACCAATAAAAAAAAACAGACTCGCCTCTCGCTGTTGATTTCTCGTCTATGTAAAAGACGTAAATGCCCTCCTCATACAATTTGTAAAATACACGAATTGGTATTTTTTTAAGGGAAAAGTTTGGGATTATTACGAATAAGGCGAACAATGATGTTGTTTGATTCTAGATATACGAATGTTTTTTTTATGATTAATGTTTTAAGCGACACTTGTCTTCTTTTTATCGATTTCTTCTAAAGCTGCCCATAATTGCGGATCTTCATAATTTTTGATGAGAAGTGTCGGGTTTGCAGTCATGAGCATGTGTTCAGGATTTCTAGTTGATAACCCGACAACTGGCATTCCAGCTGCCACACCAGCTTTTATCCCAGAAACCGAGTCCTATAACAACAATGTAGTTTCAGTTTATCATTGTAGGGGTAATTCTAATTTTCCAAGAAAATAGGAAATTAAATAAAATACCTCACAGATGAAAGTATGGGCTTTTGATACATTGAGAAGTTGAAGAGCTTTTAAGTAAGGATCAGGTGCTGGTTTTGGGTGCTCACATTCATCACCAATGATAAGACAATGGAAGAAATCAGTAAGACCAAGAGTTGAAATCATGAGCTCAGCATTTGGCCTTGGGGCATTAGTAACAGCTGCTCTTTTCAACCCATGATCTTCAATCCATTTTGTTAATTTGTATAAACCCTTTATAGGCTCCACTTTTTCCTTCACCAATCTGTATACCAACAAAATCAAACACACAGACAGAGACAAATACAAAAGAGAAGAGGGAAGAGGGCTTACTTCCTAAAATAAGCCTCTTTGTCTTCACAGAATTTTAATCCCTTTTGGATATCATCAGGGAAAAGGGCAGCTGCAATGTCATCGTTATGTTTTCCAGCAATGGTCTTAATAAAGAAATCTTCGTCTATTGGAACCCCACCATTGAAACCGATCTAGTAACATGAAAATGTGATTTAGATGAAAGTATTGTAATGGGGATTATGAGGGGAGAAAAAAGGTAGATGTAAATGTGACCTCTTGAAGCATTTCTTGAAAAGCAATGTGGTGGATTGGATCTGAATCACAAAGAGTTCCATCAACATCAAATAATACTGCTTCGAGTGGAGCAAGTGCTACAATTGTAGCTTTGCTGTTGTAAAGAACCAAAGAATGGAGTCAGTAAGAGTAATTCTTATTTTGTTTCTTTCATATGGATGCATATACAGATTGCAGATAAACCGAATTGTATAGATTTCACTTGATTAAAGTCAAAATTGAGTAGGTAAAGTTATAATCGTCTCATTAGTTAGTTTTGGTATTGGAGTATTGGTTACTCAAAATGCAATTATTCAGAGCCATATAATCGTGTGTGTGCAAACACCCCTAAACTGGAACCACAACACGTAAAATGTGAAAACATTCTCTATGTTCAAATCTAGTAAAGCCTAGGAGCATTGTTACACATGGAAGAAGGTTTCATCAGCTAAATTCGATCCATTATAAGTATTAAATCGCTCGATATGAGAGGGAAAAACTGGATGCTAGTCTTGAATTCACGATGTTATTAGATGAATCACGAACATGATTACATCATCATATAAAGTGAATCGGACCTAACAATCGAACACACTTCTCATGTTAATTAATCACAAATCAATCAGCGATTCCTCGATTCAAAATTAAAATTACGTACAAAAGGAATCGTGTTAGTGAGCATCGGCATGGTATATTTAGAGCAATCAGATCAAATTATCAAACAACTACGTACACGAACTCTAGAACTGATTTACAGAGCGATCATAAGTGGAAGTGTTTACCCGTTCTCTGAAATATCACTAGCAGACGCCGTCATCGTTCTCAAAGGTGTGGAAGAACAAATCTGAAATCTGAAATGTGAAATCAGTAAACTACCCGAAATGAAGCGAAATGGAATCTTGAAACGAATGTGCTTCGAAGAGTCTGTCTATGGCAGTCTTAAAAGAAGTTCCAAAACGTGACATTTGTATGGTGGCTCTCTTTCTTCCACGAAACTCTCGGTAAATAATAAGAAGTTAACTTTTATTTATTTTAGACAAAATTACAAAAATATCATGTATTTTTTCTGAGGTTTAGTCCAAACTTCAATTTTTTTTTGGTTTTATGGTCCTTTTAAGTTATTTTCGTTGCGTTTTTGTCTCTCGGTAAACTGAAATGACTGTAATACCCCTCATGTATTTATTTTTTATTTTTCTTTCATTTTTTTAATTTAATATACATTTATCTATTTTAATTTTAAATTTTTAATAATCTCTCTCTCTCTCTCTCTCTCTCTCTCTCTCTCTCTCTCTCTCTCTCTCTCTCTCTCTCTCTCTCTCTCTCTCTCTCCGTCCTTCATCGTCTTCCTTTTAACCACCATCATCAATACACCAAGAATGTTGAACCCACGCTTCCTTCTTCAACCACCGAATCTACACCAACAAACACCTTATGTGGCCATCTTCACCCCTAGTCTTCATATCGTCATCACAGACCCATCGTCGGCTCCTAATAGACCTTCATCAGCCACAATAATCACCATCCTAACCTGTAACTTGAGCACCAGAGGTAGAAAGAAGGAAATCCATATCAATTGCAAAATCAAATCTTAAGGAAATCAGCCTTTATCACTACCTAATCCTCTAAAAGTGAAACCCACCTTCTTCATCTTCTCCATCACGCTCTGCTACCAAGTGAAATCTAACTTGAGAGATAAAAAAAAATCACAAAGAGAGGATTTGTATTCTTATGTTTTGAAAAGAGATTCAAATCATTGTACTCCTTCCTAAGGCTAATATACTCCAATTCTCATTTCTCTAATCATTTACTGTATTTGAAAATCGAAACCACTTATCACTTCAGATTCTGTAAATGGCTTCCTTTTAGTTATTGAAGCTTTGAAGTTTTTCTGATCTTGCTTTTGTTGGGATTAATTTTTCTTCGATCATGATTTGGAAGATGGGGTTTGTATAAACATCTTGTTAGTGAAGGGGTCGTAAACGTTTCCAGTTGCTTTCGTGTTGTGGGAAAGATCACCTCTTGATGTTAGTGTGCCTAAAATCAAAATCGAAATTGTGTGTGCCCATAACGAAATCAAAAATGATTTCTCCTAAAATCTGTCCAGAAACTCAATGAGTTTGCGGAAAAAATCTAGAAACACGAAGTCATTGTGCGTGTATGTGTCTGTCAAGAATCCAGAAATTCAATGGGTTTGTTCATGTGTCTCTTGTGTGTTTATGAATTTAAACAAAATAATAATAATAATTTGTGTTTCTTAAAGAAAATCAATTTTTCCGGATCTATACTACAATTCATCAAGGTGTTTTACCTTTACCAATTTATGCATAATCGATTTTCAATGTGTATGTATGAGTGTTGTACATGTATCTGAAAGAATGTCTAGTTAGAAGGAAGAAGATATATATATATATATATATATATATATATATATATATATATATATATATATATATATAGAGAGAGAGAGAGAGAGAGAGAAAGAGAGAGAGAGAGAGATACAAAGAGAGAGAGAGAGACAGAGAGAGGGAGAAAGAGAGAGAGATGTAAACTATTTATATTCTTTTTAATTTAAATTAAATAGAATATATATATATATATATATATATATATATATATATATATATATATATATATATATATATATATATTCGTTTTAGACCTAATTTTTTTTACTCAATTTTAACATATTCCTTATTATTTCATTAGGGGAGCTGATTACAAAAAGGTAATCCTATATACCCTGACTCATGTGCACCCTATAACCTAAAAGAATAACTTAGGGGTGTTTGAGATTGATTTTCAGGCTAAAAAGTTCTTTTGACAAAAGTCTTTTTTGATTTTTTGACTTTTTACAAAAGATAGTTTTAAAATGTGTTTGATTTATCTTTTGACTTTTCAAAAGCTAAATCCAAAAGTTATAAAAAATACAACTTCATGACTTTTCAAACTGCTTATTTTTGTTCTTGTCAAAAAGTTGTTCTAAAAGAACTTCTTAAAAGGCCAAACATCTATTTTAACTTTTAAATTTTTGAAAAAGCTAAAAGTTCTCAAAGTCATTTTAAAAGGATTTTCAAACACCCTGTGATTCAAAAACCATATGTCACGTTTATGTTTGTTCTTCTTGTACACCATATAATGTCCCCCTGAAATGGTTTCTTCAAGCTAGGAACATAAAGTTAGTAGAGAATGTTGAAATAAAATTTCACTATTGTGAGGATGAAGTTTATTTGTTTACCTCTTGTCTCAAAGTTGCTTTCACAAGTTTAGTTTGTTTGAAAAAGCTAAAAGTTCTTAAAAGACCAAACATCTATTTTAACTTTTAGATTTTTGAAAAAGCTAAAAGTTCTCAAAGTCATTTTAAAAGGTGACACTTTTTCACAATATTATTTTCAAATATTGTCCCAATATTATGTTCACAATGTTTGAAGATATTTTTATTTTAATAGTAACTGGTGACAGTTTTTCAAGTAATTTTTTAATTTTTTACCTATAAAGTCATTTTGTCTCAAATATTTATCAATATTTTACCGTGAGTATTAAATTTATCTGACACTATATGTATGGAGGATCATAAACATTAGTTATCTTTTTACTTTTGTAACATCTCACGTGAAATTACATCTCTTTGGCACTGCCATTAGCTTCATGTTGGAGGTTACCAAGGTAAAAAAAATAGCTAATGAGATCCTCCATACATACATGCCAAAGAAATTTGGTACTCATTGTAAAACATTGATAAATACATGAGACAAAAAATAAGAATAAAGGTTAAAAAAAATAACAACTTACTTGCAAAATTGTCCATGTATACTACCAAAAAAAATACGATTAGACCTTTTGAAAATAATCTTGGGACAACATTGAAAACATACTCAATCTTGTGAAAACACCACTGAGACATGAATTAAATAGACGAGTGTCATCCTCGCTAACATAACTTCATTTCAACATTTCTTATTAAGTTCATGTTCTTAGTTTGAAGAAGAAATCATTTCAGGGGACCATATGTAGCATACAAAAAGAAAATGAAAAAACATAAATATGACCTGGGCTTTTAGAATCGATTATTTTTTTAGGTGATCGATCCTTATGACACATAAAAGTTAGGGGTATATAGGTTCACATGTTGGAAACTGTCTCCATTACTAAAACAATAATGAACAAGTTAAAGTTTGGTTTGTTTTGAAAAAAAAAAAAAAAAAAAAAAAAAAAAAGATGTAAAACAAGGGAAAAAAATAGAAAACATAGTCTTTTATAGAAAAAAATCAATTTACCTGGCGGGGTTGAAATAACAAATAATAGGTCAAAATTGGGTTTTTTAAACAAAGGTGTAAAGAAAACAAATGAAAATATAAGGTATTTAAAGGAAAAACTCCATATTATACTGTGTAACAACTATATGATCTGCAAACGCTACCTTAAGCTGTGCCAAGGTAAATTTGGTTTATTAATAGATAATGTGTAAATCATGCTATTATTTATGTTAAAAGTATATTATCTAAAAGTATAAGTCTTGCATAAAACATGATTTTCCTTTTTGTTTATTGACATTAAAATGTTTTTATCAATTAGTAGTGGTCACGATTCAGCTGAAAGCATAATAAAGCATTCCAACAGAAAAAAAAAAAAAAAAAAAAAAAAAAAAAAAAAAAAATTGAAATCGAGCCCAATATACATATAAAACCTTATACTTTTATAGGCGATTTGGCTCCCTAATCATTTACTCGATTTTGGTTTATGTTCAATTTAGTTTGGAAGTTGTAATGTTTTGGGCCTCTCGTATCTTTTTTTTTAAAAACCGTAAATCTAATGTATTTATAAATTATTCATAATTCTATTTATAGATAGATTTGATATCTCGACTTCAAAGAAAAAAAAAAAAAAAAAAAAAACACAACACATAATATCGTTTGACTAAATCTCCTTAGTAAACCCTTGGTATCTACAATCTTAAAACAATTCTAGTTTTTATATTTTTAATAACGAAATTACACATCTTTAAATCTTTACCTAAACTTACACCATCGTTAGATTTGGTTTTTAATAATTTGATATACTTCTAATGGTTATTACTTATATAACTGACAAGTGTATTATTTTATGATTATTTTAACAGAAATTTATACAAACCAAACCTCTTAAGTAGTTGAGTTCAAGATTTTATCAAATAAATAATCATCAAGTTCAAAATTTTATACATTTCGCCCTATATGTGAATTTTCGAACTCTATATTTATAACGACCGACGCACCTTTTTTTGCAAATTTCTTAATCCTTTTTTTTTTTTTTTTTTTTTTTTTTTTTTAAATTTTTTTAATTCTTTGGCGTTCCAACTTCCAACAAAAAAAACGTGATACCCAAGCTGTGTGATTGAATAGTCATTCATAACAACCGGAACAAAGAACAACCACGAAATTCCAATTAAAAAAAACTAACACTGATAGGAGAGAAGATAATCCTATTTCGGTATTTCCAATTCATAACACATGAATTTATTCCTAATGAGTTATCTAAAACAAACATAAATGATAAAAGATCAATAAATTCGCATATATATATATATATATATATATATATATATATATATATATATATATATATATATATATATATATATATATATATATATATATATATATATATATATATATTGAGCACTTAAAAAAACACCGAATGGCTGAAAACACCTTATGTCATGGGTTTGGGAAACAATGGGTTTACTTAATTGTCTCGTTTCCCATTGATCGTGTGAATTTTGTCCAATTTAGAGATCATAAAATCAATTTACCATATTTGTTGATGGTGTCATCAAGTCTTCAATCATCCCAGTGACAATGTTGTGATAATGTTAGTAGGAGTAGGGGTCTTCGTTTGAATGGATCGGTTCGATCCGATCCAATTAAGTAAATCCAAATTGATTTTGGTTTTCAAAATATGGATCCGAATAATCCAAACTAAATTCAAATCTGATCCGATCCGATCCAATTACAATTCGGTTGGATCGGTTTTTATAATTCGGTTATCAAAAACTAAAACATTTTAAAATGACATATAGTTATAATATTATCCAATTTTTATAGAAGCAAAAAAATATTTAGTTGTGATTTAAAATGTATAAACTATATATTATAGTTTAATATTCAATAGATAAAGAACTTTTAAGAGAAAATGCATATTAATGTTTTTTATTAGATGAAACATTTTGAACTTATTTGGAAAAATAAATTATAAAATTAATAAATAATTATAGTTATATTAAAATTAAATAAATAATAAATTGTTATTCGGTTTTTTTGGATTATTCGGTTCATATTTTATAAACCAAAACCAATCTGAAATCCAAAATAGTAATTTGGTTTTGTTGAAAACCAATCCAAAAATTCGAATATCCGAACCAAATTGTTCAATTGGACAATTCGGTTTTATTCAAATAATGAACAATCCTAAGTAAGAGCTCAACCTTTATCATCATAAGTTATACATGCTATATATATGCCTTTGAAAACATATATGAAGAATATATTTAAAAATTATAACCACCAAACAAGTTTTTTTAGCAAAGTAGGTTAGAAATTTATAACGGGATTCGAAAATTCGGATGTTCTTAGAAAAAAAAAATGTTGAACTTTTTTTTTTTTTTTTTTTTTTAGGACAACTAAGTTCGAAAACCATGAAGTAGTTCGAAAATTCTCATTTTCGAAGTGGATGACCATTCACAAAATTTGGTTATACATGTGTGTATATGCAATGTGTTTATTTTGGCGATTATCTTTATTTAAATGGCATTTCAGATAGGGGAAAAATGATATATTCTATCATATTACTTATGATACTTGTGAACTAGTTAAATCATGGTGTAATATACAATGAGTGATAATCAACTTTAATTTTTTTAATTTGCTTATTAAAACTTGAAACTATGAAAAATGACAAAATAGTTAAAAAAAATGTTTTATTTAAAGTGAATGGTTGACTATTTTTTTTTCTTTCTAACTATGGCCGGTATAAATGATTTTTCTTTTTCCGAATGTTCAAAGATCTTTGTTTAATGATTTGCAAAATTAAGCAAGCGACTAAATGAAAAAATAAACCATAGTTGTTTTTGCATTATCTAGAAATCAATCTATACAAAATAAAACCCAAATATTGGTATATGACATATATGACCAAACTAATGCAAAGTGTCCATATAAAACTTTGTAAATAAGATTTAAGTTTTTCAACTCAATATGACTCTTGAAAAAATGACACTCCGACTATTCAAACCTATGTAAATATTTACATATACGTTTCAAGTTTTATCAAATACACTAAACTTCATGCCAAAAGCAAAAACAATAACTTTACAATGCTTTGTAAATCAAATATGCTACAATATGTACATTGTTTTGTACCTAAACATTTCCTCTTTTTCATGCACTTGTGTTTTCTTTATCTTGACATCTCTTGTACCATAGGAGGTGCTTGTCGATACATTGTAGTTTCTTGCCTATACCTTTCCCTATTTCTTTCCCATCCTATAAAAACCAAAAAATATAAACCATATACATGTATGTATAAACTATACATTGTGTTTGTTACACATAACATAATGTGACTTGATAAGTTTTCTAAAACTTAGATGATAAGGATGAGACATTCATGTCTTTTTCATAAATGACATTAAAAGCAAACCCATGTTCACTTTTTTGGGTGGGATATAAGCATACAAAAATGCAATTTGTGTACTATTAACATTAGAATTAGTCCTAATTCAATGCATGTCAAATGCAATATGACATATCTTATCTTGTTCTGCATAATGTGAAAAAGGGTACCTTGGAAAACTATAAATCCTTGTTGTTCGAGTTGACGATATTGTTGACATAGTGCACATTGGTGACACCATAGATGAAGACAATAGTCGCTAGACAAACTTCCCTTTAGATTCCATTGTCTTCTCATTTTTGTGCGATATAAACCATTATAAAATGTAGCTAAAATAAAACCAACAATCCATCCTTGATAACCCATGGCGCCAAAACATTTATGTTTGAATAGAATAAGCCATATATAATCAAGAATTTCCATAAACCCTATTTGGACCACATATAAAAAGCAATAAAGTGATCCAGGTTCAGTCCAACCTACAACATTTCAAATAAATAATAAAATTAGATGTTGCAACTTTTATACCGTTAATGTTATAACTATGTAGTAAACCATTTTTTCATAATTGTTATAAAATGATATATCCGTACGTAAGAGGTGTTTGGGTTATCTTTATGAAAAACAGAAGTTTTTTTAAGAAAAGTTGTAAAAAGTTAGTTTTTTTATGACTTTTCCAAAAAGTTACTTTTCCTTATTTCTAAAATTTAAAAGTAGTTTTTAAAATGTTTTTACCAAATATCTTTTACCTTTTATTTTTTTAAAAGGACTTTTAATCTCTCAAAAGATAACCCAAACTTTTTATTTTTTATACAATTTTTAATAGTATTTTGTAAAAAAGACCGTTGAAAAAACAATGGTTTTCAATATGGGTTGTTATAAATTTTAAATTTATGACATTAATACAATTTTATGTAGAGATTTTTTTTTCTTTCAGAATAGAATGCTGACTTGTTTCTCCTTCGTTAACAATTTCTGCAATCTTCCCAAATGCAACACATGGACAAAGAAGTACCAAGACACCTGAAAATTGGGGAAGAAATTGAAATCAACTCAAGAAATAGGTTTGAATATTAATAAATTGTTGAAAATATTATGTATTGAATTCATACTTATTTTGAAGTCGGAAAAGCAATCGTAAAGACCAACTGCCCAACTATTTGGTGGGTTAGGATAATATATTGGTTCTTGGCCGGCGGCGGGAGGTGTAGGAAAAGGAAACGGCGGAGGAATGCCACCGGAATTTGGCCAAAACATCGGCATCATTTGGTTGCCATTTTGAACGTTTGATGATCGTGGTGATGTATATTGGGTGTTGATGGTTGTTGTTGGTTGCACGAATGGCGTTGGCGGTGGATTCCGGTGGTGGATTTGAGATTGATTTGGGGTTTCCTTCATTGTTTTGATTTGAAGAAAGGAAAGAAAATTAACGTGTAACGATGGGGAAAAAATGTTCTTATGAGATGAATTAAAATTTTATACGAAAGTTTAGATGGAAATTGATAATCGTTTTTTGCTTTTGTTTGGAAAGAAAAGACGTGATTTTGGAGATTTGTTGAATGATTGATTACCTCAAAATTAACAATGTATTTGGACAAAATTTATCATTTAAGGTTCTCCAAAAAAATGACTCTTAATACCCTATATATGACTTTATAATGATATTATTATATTATTATTATTAAAAATAATAATGGAAATCTTAAAAAAAAAAAAAAATCAATTTATATCTTGTAAAGCTAAAAGAAACCATTATATTATATTTTTGTATATTAAAACCACTTTTTGTTTTAATCTTGTCTTAACTAATGTACTGTGAACATTTATATCAATGTACTTTTATTAAGGACAAAATATAACAATGTGTTTCCATTTTAATATAC